ATGACGGCCCAGTCATGGCAGCACATGGCAGGGGCCTGATCACCTCGAGGACCGAAGGAAGCAGAGCTAGGGCTGGGGACCCAGCATCTGAGTGTGTCCCTAGTGACTTAACTTACCCAAACACAGCAGGTCCTGGCTGACAGAAAGACAGGGCTGCAGAGACCAGCAGAATGTCCAGTGCTGGGGCTGGAGGATGGCTCAGTCAGTACAGTGCCTGTCTTACAGAATGAGGACTTCATTAGGATCCTCAGCACCCACAGCCAACCAGGCATGGCGGTGCACATCTGCAATCCCAACAGCTGGATTTAGGAGGGCCCCTGGGGCCTAGTCTAGACAAGGTGGTGAATTCCAGGTTCCATGGGAGATCTCGACTCAGAAAATAAGGTGGAAAGGGATTGAGAAAGACACCCAAATCCACTTCTGACCTCCACTCATACACATACACCTGATCTACACCCTACACCTACACAAACACAGCATCACACAAAAAGAAAGTGTCTACTGTTTATTTAGCACTTAATCTAGCCAGCTTTGTACATAACCCATGTCCACTGTCTATATTTAATTCCCAAAATAATTCTAGGTATTATTATCCCAGTCTTCTAGAAAAGAGAAACCTATAGAAAGGAAATGGTGTAGGCTGGCCTGTGTAGCCAGTAGTGACAGCAGGAACAGATCTGAGCTGGTACTGGCCAGGCCTGTCCCTCTGGCCTTAGCCTTGCCAGTGCCTTGTAGACCACCTCAGAGTGCAGCATTGTGTCTGTCTGTGTGGAGGGTGGAGAGAGAGAAGGGAGATTAATGAGAGTGGAATGAGAAGTGAGGGCAGCGGCAGGCAGGGAGGCTGTCTTCAGATCTGAGCATCTTCCAAGTAGGTAAGTTCAGACTGATAGCAGGAGGGTAGCAAAGGCTTTGGGTGGCAATGTGTGGGTGTTTGCAAGTGATAAATAGCTCTGAGCTGTGAAAAGAAATGCCTCCTTAGAGCTTGCTGCTGGTGGGCACAGCTATAATGGAGGCCTCCCTCAGGGCTGCTCACTGCTCACAAACGACTCTTTCTCCTGTGTTCCTTCAGAGGACCTGCTCTTGGTGGAAGGGATGTCAGTGCCGAAAGACGAACCTGTGGGTGCCCTCCATCTCATCCAAGCTGCCAAACTCGGCAACGTGAAGGCCCAGAGCATCTTACGAACTGGTAAGCCTATGGTCCCAGACCCCCAGGGCTCCCAGGGAGCCTCGGTTTCCCTTAGGTGCAGTGCTCTGCATTGTGTACTCAGAGGTACTCTTTCTACTTCCTGGAAAAGGGAAACGTGTTGAAGGTGTTTAGAAGCACTGCCTTTAAATGGGTTTTAATTCTTATTTTATACTGAAAATATTACTGGTTCACTTTGTAGGTATTTAGAGTATAGGATAATAGTAAGCAAAACTATCTTGAGCTTTACCACTCAGAATCACCAACTATTAGAATGTCTTTCCAGTCTATTTGTTTTTGTAATGTTTACATAATTAAGATTATATCTTACAGTACACATAAAATTTTGTTTACCTATTTTTGCAATGCTTATACGTTCTGGCAAGCACTCTGCCACTAAGCTAGACCCCCATTCCTCTTTTTTCTCAGATGGCATCTCACTTTGTTGTCTGTGCTGACACCAGGGAAGAAAGATGGTAGCTTAGAAGCCCAGGGAGGTTAGGAGAACATCAGCTCTAGATGGCTAGGTAGCAGCTTGCATGATAAGTGAGTTCAAGACCAGCCTAGGCTGCAGATGAGATCCTGTCTCACAAAGGAGAATAAGTCATGGCACTCCTATAGGCCTCTCTTTTTCAGGAGGCTAAGGCAGGAAAATTGCTTGATCCCAGGAGTTCTGAGCCGTGTAATTGAGACTCTTGTCCCAAAACAAAACGGCAGCTCAAAGACTCAAGGGCTGGGGAGCTGAGGCGGGAAAGATGGCTGAGAGCTGGAGGTCAGCCTGGATTCCACAGTAAGAGTCTGTCTCAAAGTAAAAAACAACAAGATGTAAGGAAGAGGAAATCGTGGTTTGGTCTGGGTTTTGGTTTTTTGAGACAGAGTCTGTCCATGTCCTGGCTGTTCTGGAATTCAATGCATAGACCAGGCTGGCCTACTCACAGAGACCCACCCGCGTCTGTCTCCTGAGGGACAGGACTAAAGCTGTGCACTACCAGACCGGTCTTCCCGGACAGCTTTAAACCTAGCTTTTAAACTTCCCGGTGTCTGATTTAGCATTTCCTGGAAACTTTTCTGCTTTTTGCTCTCCTGCAGCTGGAACTGCTTTGGGACTTGGGGTTGTGAACATCCTCCACACTATGAACCCTTCGCTAGTGATCCTGTCTGGAGTCCTGGCCAGTCACTATATCCACATCGTCAAGGATGTCATCCGCCAGCAAGCCTTGTCCTCCGTACAGGATGTGGATGTGGTGGTTTCAGATTTGGTTGACCCGGCCCTGCTTGGCGCTGCCAGCATGGTTCTGGACTACACAACCCGCAGGATCCACTAGGTCTCCTGGGAGTGGACATGGACCGAGACCCAAGAGCTACTTAGTGGAGCCAGGTTCTTTTAGATCAGTGCTTCTTCAAAGGCAGATTTGCGGGGCTGCTGAGATGGCTCAGTGGTTAAGAGCCGTTATTGCTCTTGCCGAGGACCCCGGTTCAGTTCCCAGCGCCCATATCAGGCAGTTCGACCGCCTGACAGCCAAGCTCCAGGGGATCCAAGGCCTCAGCCACTGAGGGAGTTTTCACTCAAATGTACATACCCCCTCCCTCAAACGTAATTCAAAATAAATCTTATTTTTAAAAGGCCAATTTGATATTAATCTCCAGCAACACCTGCAGAAGTAGCTTTGCTTCTTGTCTGCCCTTCTGTATCAAGTCAGTGTTCTCTAGAACAGGACTGATGGAAGGAATCTGTCGGTCTGTATAAACGGATTACTGGGATAGCTTGCAGGCTGGGTCCAGCTGGTCCAACAGTGGCTGTCTCCCGAGGGAAGTCCAGGAGTTGTTCAGCCCATGAGGGGGACGTCTCAGCTGGTCTTCAGTGGGCATCAGAATCGTGAAGTAGGCTCCGGTACCAGTGAAGGGAGAGCAAGGGCAGCCAGGCAAAAAGCAATCGCTTCCTTCTCCCATGTTCTTTATATAGGCTGTCAGCAGGACGTGTGGCCTAGATTAAAGGTGGATCTTTCTACTTCAAATGATTTAATTAAAAATTCCTCCCAGGTGTATCTAGCCTCTTGGGTTTTAATTAATTCCAGATGTAAGCAAGTTGACAACCAAGAATAGCTTCACACCCTCCAAGTGTACCTTTCCCGTGAGCCTGTGCAGAGCTGTGGGGATGGGGTGGCCTGACTGCAAACTCTGGGCCCCAGCGACACTTCCTGCACCCAGGAGCAACAGCAGTGGACCTGAAGCCTCGGGACCCCCGTAGACCTCGGAATGCTAGCATCACGGGAAGGTTCGGGTTAACAGTCTTCCTCAGCCACAGAAAGAGAGCCTGTCACCCAATGAAGGAAAGCTCACCGGGAAATGCATGCTTGCTGCTTTTAACAACATAACTTACACATTTCACAGCCTTCCCCATAGCCATACTCCTGTGAAACAGCCACCAGAATCAAGGGACTGGGCAGATGTCACACCCCAATGTCTGCTGAAAGATGCTTCATTCGTGGAGGTTGTTTTTGTTTTTGAGACAGGGTTTCTCTGTGTAGCCCTGGCTGTCCTGGATCTCACTCTGTAGACCTGGCTGGCCTCGAACTCACCGAGATCCGCCTGCCTCTGCCTCCCACAAGTGCTGGGATTAAAGGCGTGCAGCACCACCACCCAGCTACTCATAAGGGTTAATGAGAAACTGGGGTCCAAATCATGGCCTTGGTCTTATCTTCCCAGAGAAAGCAAGCAGGACTAGAGCTTCTGGAAGGGGAGCTGCTGTCCGCATAGGGTCTTTGCTTCTAAGTGCAGATACTTTGCCCCTTCTGCTTTTCACTGTTCCCTGTGACCCAGAATTGGGAGTCAGTGTTTGAGTGTGTGTGTGTATCTTAAACACCTGGAGCTCAGAGCCTTGGATCTGAATACTGACTAAATTAGAATTTGTGCTTTTTGTTGTAGGTGTTTCTTTTTGAGACAGAATCTCACTTGTCTTACTCAGAACCTTGGTTTATCTTGAACTCCCAACAATCCTGCCACAGCTTCCAGAGTGCTGGGATTATAGACAATGAGTCAGCACACCCAGCTTAAAATCTATTCTTTCATTGATGACAAAATACATAGTCAAAAGTTCTGCCTATTAACTGTCCCCTGAAATAAGTGCTAACAAATGCCACTGCATTAGTTACTTTCTGCTTGTTAGTAGCTGGAGCTGAGACAAAGCACTGCTCTTCCTTAAGGGGTCTCCTGGGTGGTCTCCAGGTGAACTTGGGTTTCCTTGCAGCATGGTGGCTCCACGGCAGTAGAGCTTTTCACATAGTGGCCCAGGGTTACCAGGTAGAAAATCTGAACACATCAGCCATAAGCTGTGTTGCCCTTTACAGTCTAGCCTTAGGACTCACACGCCATCACTTCTGTCCTCTAGTTTCTCATCTGGACAATTTCAGATGAGAACTGTCACACTGCCTTCAGGAAACCCAGACAATGGCATGTAGACGGTACCCAAACCAAGCTGTTCTAGGATTATGGGAATTCAGGGGAGAGGAGTAAGGCATTATGGAGGGGCCTCTAAACATTCTTAAATTGGACCCCATCTCATAAAGTAAAAAGGGGGTGTTGATGGGGCTGTGGTAGCATGCTTACCTAGTACACCTAAGACCCTAGGTTCACTCTCCAGGACTCCTATTCTACCCCCCAAACACCAGAAACTTGGAGTTACCATAGTTTAAGGAGGGTTGGACGCTCACTGGCTGTGCCTTCTCAGCCCCAGAAGTACTTGAGAATCACTCCCACCCCTTTAAGCCTGCCTCCACACTGCAGCACCATTTCAAGATCAATAAAGATGCTTCATGTATAATGTTTGAAACAGAAATTTATTCTCAGAATAATGCACAAAAGCATGGGTTGAGGCTACTGTCGGGAGCATCCCTCCCCTCCTCCTCCGCCTCCCCTCCTCCTCCTCCTCCCCTCCCTTCTCTGAATGCCAGGGAGAACACAGTTGAAGGAAACATGCAATCACAAACAATGATCAACTCTAAAGACAAAGGTTTGGTCCAAAAGAACTCAACATAATTAATCCAATTACGTGAACAGCCTCACTGAGTAGGATTAAGATATTGCAGACGTAGTGTTTCCACAGGGTAGCTCTTCAATGCACCAGGGGGGCCTGCTTCAGGGAGATGAGGACTGAGCGCATGCGAGAGACATCTTTGGCCTGTTTGCTGGACTTGGGGTTAAAGTCACACAGGCGGGCCACCCGCTCCCATTCAGTGCCTGGGGATGACTCATCGATGTCGTTTACAAAGGCTTCTTCTGCTGCCCTGGAAGCAATAACAAAGTATGTTGGTTTAACGTAAAAAAACCTTTGAGCAATCTGGTGGCTGCCTTGCTACAACTCACTACAAAGTAAGTGATTGTCTCTGTTGACTCAGGGGCATGAGTGTATGAGCCCCTGGCTCAGGTCAGAAGCAGGGGCAGACAGACACGTGGCTAGCTTTCCTTGGTACAGGTAGCCAGGCTGCTGTATGAAATGGTGGAATACAGGTGTTTGGTTCAGGGCTCAGTCCGTCCCTATGGCTGTCTTTGCCTCATCAGAGCCCGAGCAAGCCCGTCCTTGGCCACCTACGCACGGCTTTCCTGCACAGAGCACAGCGGCAGGCCGCCGGGGGCCTGCAGAGTAGCTTGTGCTGCGCTCCACTGAGGTTCAAGGAAAGGGAGACTTCGAAAAGCCCTCGGGTTATCGCCCAAGAGCCTGAAACTTACTGCTAAGGCTGGAGAGAAACAGGGCAGAGCAAAAGGCATTCCAGACCAAGCTCCCATGCTAGCAGGCACTAGAGACTAAAGCCATTCTGGAAGGGGTTTGTTAGGACGTTCACCAGTTCAGCCAAAAGCCTGCCATTTTCTCTCCAGCCGGGTGCCTGGTGCCACTCAGGGAGTACCCTGGCAGGAGAGCCAACAGGGGCTGCTTTTTGGCAGGCTACCACTCCAGCATTCTTTCACATCGCCGTCAGCCCACCCACAGTGGGGCCTGCCGGGCAGGAGCACACGCCCAAAGGACAGTGGTAGAAGTGGGAAGACACATGTATGTCATCTACTCCAACAAGCATCACGGGCAAAGCAAAAGCGATGGAGATGACTGGTCTGTGGGGACGGGGTGGACCATCCCAGGGATGACCGTGGGAACACTGCTGAAGCCCAGAGCCACGACAACACTGCGACTTCATGGCACACACAGTTAGGGCGGGGAGGAAGGTTTACTTAACTGTTCTAGGCTGTAGCAAGGATGGTTTATGTTTGTGCTTAAAGGTGAAGAGAAGAAAAGAAACAAGGAGAAACTTTAAGTCAGATACAGAAAATGAGAATGAGCTCAATGCAGATGGTCAGTAAGCTAGACATGCCCTTGCCGCTTTTCCTACGCCTGGGACGTGCAGCTGGCTTTGCTGGGCCACCCTGCTGCCCAGCAAACCCAGACTCAACCTTTCCAGTCTCCATTTCTACTCCACAGAGTGTAAAAGTCGAATCAAACACCACCTGTAAGTCCAGCATTTCACAAGTCTCACTGCCAACTCATCCCGTTCTGTCTTCTAATGAGGTGGCCATCTCAGGGTCAGGGGCCTTACGAGGCTCTCCGGCCACCACCCACCTTCACAAGTGGTTGCTGTTTTTATCCCTAATTCTGTGTAAAAAGGAAATCAGTGAGGACTATTTCCAAGTCCTCAGCAATACTGTTTTCATTAATAAGGATCCCTATTAAAAACAAACAAACAAAAAAAAAAGCTTTTCCAGGAAAGATAGTTTTCTGGGGGGGGAAATGAAGAAGTTCTTATTGGACACTTTTGACTATCTTGACCTCACAGCAGGGGCATCTGTGCTAGGGTAGGAGACGGGGTACCAGAAGCTAACCACTAAATGAGCAATTTCTGCTATCTAAGGCCAGAGAAAAACAGTGACCGATACCCACTTTGTCTGAGTGAGCAACCCTCACCTCACATTCTTTAAGGATCAAGAACTGACAAGGCAGAGCACCCCCCTCTGTCCCAGACTCCCCAATACGGAGCTGCTGTCCATGGCTCCTAACATCTTGGGTCATCACCTCTCCATGTAGGAGACCCGCCTTCCCATCTTAGGCAGACAGGCAGGCAACAGGGCCTGGAGCAGAACCAGTGGCGGCAACCACAGAGGTCAGAGCCATCCAAGCCCCAGACCCTTCCCAGACAGATCACGAAGGACCATGTTTGGAAAGCTTGCTTCCTCCAGGATCCCAAGTATGGAAATGGTCACCAGGGAATGTGTGGAGTGATAACTCTACAAGATTAGCAGTGGTCATATCTAGCTTATCAACTGTCAAGCAGCCCCACAGAGCCAATGTGAAATATTTTAAAAAGCAAAGCAACTTGTGACAAAAAGGAGCATTAACTCTAAACAAAAAGAATCAAAACAAGAAAATGAATTAGTTTTGCAACATACACATAACCAATCACGTCAGCGAAGGGTTGTTTGTAGAAAGCTTCATCTGCCACCCTAGACAGCAAGAAGTCCAAAAGGCAGGCAAGCAGGCAGGAAAAAAGAGAGAACATTGAGAAGCAGAAACATCTCAAATCCACAATAGAGGTGTGACAGCGCCCTGGGTTGCTGCTCCCAAGGCTCCATTCTAACCCCAGGGAGGCTTCCAGCGGTGGACACTCCAGTGCAGAGGCATCTTGGAAGCTGGCCTTCATGGGCTCTCCACAAGAGAGCGCTCCAGCTTCAGTTTTGGGCCTTACCAGCAAATTATGGGTTCCGTGTGATGGCACACACCTCGACCATTACCACCTATTCCGCCAGTGTTCCTGCCCTACTCCAAGGGTAAGGTGACTGTGGCTCAGAGATGAAGACCTGGTCAGCTACAGCAGTAACAGTGTAGCTTACAGTACATATATTTTACTTACTATAAATTAAAGTCGTTTCCAAGCTCAGGATGGCAAGCTGCCTTTCTGCCAGCCTCAGTAAGTGCCATTGGGTATGAATACTGCCAAGCAACAGATGAGCACAGTCCCCAAGATGTAATCCCCAATCTTGGTCCCAGTCGCTGCTCCCCAACACTGGCTTGGTGGAATAAGCTGCCTGTGGCTGTTGCAAACCGTCAGTCTTAGAGATCAAAGCGGCTGCTCTAGTGAGGTGGAAGCTAGTGTGGACTCGGGCCCCAGGCTTCTGTTCCTCAGGAAACCAGGACAGTTTCTAAACACCTATGTCAGTCTCGGCTGGCTCTGACAAAGTGTAGCTTAAAACCCCCGAACTTCACCAAGTCTTAATACGTATGCCCAGGTGGAAGTGCATCAAATGACAGAATCTGGACTAACCGGGGAGACAAGGTGTCCAGAAGGCATACTGCAAGTAACACAAGTCTCGGCCTTTGCCAGCTTGTTTTAGGACGAAACACTGGAAATGCCTGGTTTTGAGACAGGGCCTCACACTGTAGCCCTGGCTAGCCAAGAACTCACTTGCAATCCCCCTGCCTTGGCTTCCCAAGAGTGAGGCAGCAGTAACTGGCTGGGTCATTTTTAAGTTAATGCTCACTCATTAACTTAAGCACACATTTATCTGAAGGTAAAGTCGAGTAACTTACATTTTTAGTTACTTCATTTTGATCCAGGGTTTCAGGTAGCCCAGGTTGGACTTAAACTTAGTAAGTAGATGAAGATGACCTTGAAATTCTCATCCTCCTGCCTCCACATCTCCAATCCTAGGAATGCTGGGATTATGAGTATGCTCCATCACATCCACTGTGGATCAAGCTCAGGGCCTCACAGATCCTAAGCGATCACTACTGACTAACCTACACCTTCAGTGGAGTTTCAGTTTACTTTTAAAATGCACACATACCCTTTTACTCTTCCCTACTTCTCTACACAGAAGGCATTTGTGGAAATTTAAAGAAAGCAAAAGGAGCAGCCTGGCTGTGACTCAGTGACTCAGCGGGGATCCGGCTGCTGTGAGTAAGAGAGGCACAGGGCAGGCAGCCTGTACACTAATCCTTTTAGTTTACAGAAGGGCTTAGCCTAATCCATCTCAACACTGCCTCGCTCCAACTGGAGGAGAAGAAAGCTTTAATGCTCCAAGGCATCACTTCACAACACAGGCTTCGATGTCTAGCCCCAAACTAAAGGGCTGGTCAATGACAGGCAGGGCCTCTGGCGGACAAACAACTCTACAGAGCAAACACGGGCACCCCACCGGTTTGTTCTCCTCCCAGTTTAAGGCGGCCCTGGACTCAGCGACTGTCAGAGAGCTCAGGGAAGCCTGGGAAAGGGGAGAGGAATGCCTGACCACAGGACAAGCTCCATGGGCCTCAAATAACAATTCAGAACTTCATTCTATAAATAGCTCCAGTGGACATGGGAAAAAGAAGGCTACCAATGCTAAAAATAATTAGGTTCCTCAAATGTTTTCAGGCTGTAGTAGAACTGGAAAGCCCAAAGTAAGAGACCTCTAACCTGAGGATGCTTCCCTTCTTGCCTAGGAAGGGAGTTGTAGGGTTGTCCTCCGCGAATGACCTGCAGGAGACTATCACTGTTCTGACTCTACTGAGTGATTCGGGATAAAGGGACGTGCAGTTTGGCCTTGACCACACAGTACCATGGACATGGGAACAAAGACCCCTCCTGTCTGCTGACTTCTTCCATGCCCCCACTCTGCAGGACCGGGCCTGGACTTGCTTCCAATGTCTTGGTGAGGTGTGTTTTTTTTTTTTTGAGACAAGGTCTGTGTATCCCAGGCTAGCCTCAAACATTCATTTCTGTCTCAGCCTTCCGAGTGTGGGATTGTGCTAGTGTGGCACCATAAACGGCCTGATCTCCGCCCCTCCTTCACTCTGTGGTGCTCAGGTCTGAACACGGGGCCTTGCATATGTTAGCCAGTGCTCTCTCTAGCACTGAGCTCCATTCCTAGCCCTTCAAATGATCTGCAACGCCTAACCACCATCCTCTGACCCTCTGAAGAATCACTAGAAGCCTGGTGGTGGCAATCCCGGCACTCCAGAGGCAGAAGCAGGCGGATCTCTGTGAGTTGGAGGCCAGCCACCAGATGGAGCTCACCATATGAGCTCTAGGACAGCCCAGACTACATAAAGAGACCATCTCAATAAAAAAAAAATCAAAACAAAACAAAACTACTGGACTAAAGAAGGAAAAACCAATCTTTTGTCCTAGGACTGTGGGGATGGCTGGCGAGCGTACCTCCCGCTTTATACAAGCCTGTGAGCAGGTTTTACAAGGCATGTGAGCTGGTTTGTAACAGCGTTATGTTACCACTTCATGAGAACTCTTTTCTCTGGAACTTGAGAGGATCAGGCAATTCAATAGTCTACAATTCCAAGAAAAGTAAAGTACTACAGTCTGCCTACAAGCTCAGGTTAAGTACCGACAACAGACATGGAGTATTCCTTTAGATAAAGGGAGTAGGCCAAGACTTCTGTCCCCCATATATTCATCATTAAGTCTGAAAATCTATTTGTCAGGTGCTGAAGTGTGAGGACCTGGTGCAGGAAGAGTCAGTGCACTGGGTCCAAGCACTTCAGAGCAGATCAGCTGCTGAGGCAGCTTCCCAGCGAATGTCACCACAGCACAGCAGCCTTCTCTACTGCAGACCGGGACCCGAACCTAGAGCGGAGTCATCTCGAGGAGGCAGAGAACAGCGAAGTCTGGCACTGTGGGCACTTCCCCCAGCACAGCAGAAGCGCAGAGCAGCTGGGTGGCAGCTCTCGCCCTGGCACTAAACCTGACCAGACGGTAGTTTCCACCCTTCCTGACCCAGAACTTCACCTAGAACCTGAAGACACTGTTCTAGAGTGTAGCCCTCAGAGAAATGACCAGGTTAGGGGCCTGGGCCTGGCCTCAAAGGGTTTTCAAGGACTGCCATGAAAGAGCCCATCTATCCTGCCTGCCACAGCTGCTCACAGCGGCATCAGATGGCTGGTGATGGGTTAGCTACATTTTCCTGACAGATTTCCATCTAAGAGCTGTCCAAAAAGCAGCACCAGACCCAACCCACACAAACCGACTTCAGGCCCTAGCCTAGTCTGCCTTGGGTTTTGTTTCTGTTTTTTTAAACAGTAAAATGAGTGACATGCCTCCCATCCAGTTAAAGGTGGCTGGCTCTGAACCCAGCAGAAAGTAAGCTAGTCTGCCTTGCGTGCAGGGAGCTATCCGACAAGTATCTCCCTAGGCTACCTCCAAGAAGGAAGATATTCCAGGGAAGGGCTCCTAAGAAATGAGTACATACCACAGCTACTGCTGGGTGATAATAGGAAAATGAGTGTTTTCTCCCTACACTATTAACTTTCAGGAAGTGAAAACTGTCTTCTGAAAACACCATTTTTAGGAAACCAACTCAAGTCCTTAAACACAGTTAGTAGCCAGGGAACCCTTAATTCTGTAGTCCATGTTGGAACATCCTGAAGTACCTAATTACAGAGCATGCCCATGCTGAGGACCCTCATGAAGCCTCTTTAGGAGGGCAGGGCTACATTTAGGGAAGGCGGCAGAAGTTAGTCTGTAATTGTCTCCAAAGTAATAAGACTCTGCAGCTGACCTTTCATCTCAGAGCTCTGCAGCGCTACTTCCCCGGATCCCACCATTATAGCTGATGAAACTATGCCCAGTTTAAAAGCCACACTCAGTCCAGGCTGAATTATGCTCATAAGACCCAGGAGACTTGCAGCCTCTGTTTCTAGCAGTTTCTTCCAAATCGGCAAAAGCCTTTCATATGAAGGCAGGCAGAGCCAAGAACCTAGACTGTGTGCTGGCAAATGGACTGGACTCCGTCTCCGAGAAGCCAGTGGACTGACCTGTTGTTTGCTTTTGTTTTCTGTAGCTGCTCATCCTGTCTCGCATACCATTCTTCCAGCTCCTTTATTGCTTTCTCTTTCCACTCTGCTTCTTGCTTTCGAGAATTGGCATCTTTTAAGGGAGAGAAAAGAATACAACTGAGGGAAAGAAACACAAGTTCATTTCAACATGTAATGTTTTGGTCTTACTGAATTTACCTAAGGATGGGAATGTATGTGTACGTCTGTGCTGGGGAAATGACAGATATGGCTCTGTTCTGCTCTTCCAGGGGACCAGGTTCCACTTCCAGCACCCATATCACACGGCGGCTCACAACCACCTGTAATTCCAGTTCCAGGAGATCCCACACCCTCTTCTGGCCTCCACAAGTACTTCACACGTGCACCAGCACAGGCATACATACAATGTTTTTCTTTTTTAAGCCAGCATTTCCTATAGCCCAGGGGGGCCCTGAACTTCTGGTTCTCCTGATTCCACCTCCCGGTGGAATGTCCAGACTATAGTCACGTCCCACTGTGCCCGATTCTGTGCTGTGCTGGGGACTAGCCTCAGGACTCTGCACGCTGGGCAAACACTCTCCCAACTGAACAGTATCTTCTGCTCTCCTCACAAACCCACAGTAACCAGTCATGTTTTTATAAAACACAAATTACTCTCCTAACTATAAACATTTGCATGAGGCAGGAAACTAACAGGAAAACCAGCAGAGGTAGAAATGACTCGAGAATCAGAGAATGCTAGGATACAGAACCACAGAATACCTCCTCCAGCTCAGAGCCGGTTAGTTTGTAACAGAGCCAGCTGTGAAAGAAAGCAGGAATGGAGGAAGTGTGTGTGTGTGTCGGGGGAGGGGGGGGGGGAACGACACACAGGGTCACTATTAACAATTAATTACCCAAAAGCTTCAAGACACTACAGTGAGAAGAATCACACGTGCAGGTTTTCTAGCCTGGATTCTCAAACAGGAAATTCCTTTTCTCGAAGTTTCTTAGTTTTGTTCATGTGTGTATGTGTGTGCGTTCGAGAATGCAGGTACCCAGAGGCCAGAAGGCATGAGAACCTGTGGAGATGGAGTTACAGGCAATTATGAGCTACCATGTAGGTGCTGGGAACTGAAAACAAGTGCTCTTAACCACTGAGCCACCCTTCCAGTTCCAATGTGAAATTTCCTAAGATTAAATGTGGTTTTCCTAAAATGTTTAGTTGACGATCATCTGTCACAAGGTGAGAGAGAAGTATTATCACAGCCAGTGGTGGACTCGGCACTTGAACTCACTCTAACAGTCACACACATTCTTAGGGACATCCTCTCCAGCAGGTTGTACATGCATCTCAATCTGTACAATACTTCCAAGAACATAAATTCTAGGTCCATTTTCAGCAGTGAGGGGAAAACAAAAACAAAATAAACCAAAAAAAAAAAAAAATCACCTCGGAAAGCTGCGTGCACTTGCCACAGCGGGAGGGGGTGAGGGTAGAGCAAAGACTTAGTCTGCTCTCAAGCTCGCACTTGACTTACTCCATTATGCAAGCCTGGAAATAATCACATGATGTGACCATCAAGGCTACCGTAATCCAGAGAGCTCTCAAAGTCCAGAGCAAGAGCCCAAGCTGTAGTCAGTATCTTGGAGAAGGAGAGTAGAAAGCAGGGAGGCACCAAGTAAAGATCTGAAGAGAAAGAAAGCATTCCCTGGCATTTTCATGACCCTTGTAAGAAACGCACTAACAATCAGCACAAGGCTGCATCTGGCTGTAACAGCCTAGTGACAGGAGTCATCCCCAAGTTTCAATGATCAGGTCTTCATTTGGCTGTTAACTCCTCAGAAGATGGCCTAGCATTTGCAGAAGACTCATTTAGTTGGAGCTTCCACTAAAGACACACATATATAAATCTTCTGATGGTCTGTCCACGGCACACAGAACAGAAGATGAACTATACTGCTATCAGATTCTGGAAGTTGATGAAGCCACGTGAGCTTCAAGGAACTGAAAAACTACTACCAAACCTAGATGCAAAGTTGAATTACTCCCCAAAAGCCCTTTCTGGGCTGGCAAGGTGGCTCAGTGGGTAAAGGCACTCGCTGTGCAAGATTGACCCAAGTTCAATCTCTGGATCCTCACGGGGGAAGAGCCAACTCCTTGAAGCTATCCTGTGACCTCCATGTGCACATCACAGCAAGTGTGTGCACTCACCACACACACACACACACACACACACACACACACACACACACACACACGGAAAATTTAAAAAAAATTAAGTGCTCTTGGATTAGAGTATAACCTTTCTATGTATTCTAATGATCATTAAAATTATTTTCATGTGGGAGAGCAGTGAAAGAGATACCTTGATAGAGGAAGACATCCTGGGAATAGGGAGATAAACCTGGTGCTAGGCAAATTCCCAGGAATCCACAAGGATGACCCCAGCTTAGACTACTAGCAATAGTGGTGAGGGTGCCTGAGCTGGCCTACCCTGGTAATCAGACTGGTGAATACCCTAAATGTCATCATAGAGCCTTCATCAAGTAAATGATGGAAGCAGATACAGAGATCCACAGCCAAGCACCAGAGCTCCAGGAGTCCAGTCAAAGAGATGGAAGACGGATTCTATGAACAAGGGGCATCAAGATCATGATGGGGAAACCTACAGAAACATCTGAACCAAGCTCAAAAGGTGGAACCTGTATGGGACCAGACTAGACCCTCTGCACAAAGAGACAGTTGTGTAGCTGGCCATGTGATCAGGACCTATCCCTGGTGCACGAGCTGGCTTTCTGGATCCCATTGGCTATGGTTGCTCACCCTTGAGGCAAGGGGGAGGGCTGGGTCCTGCCTCAACTGAATGTACCAGGCTTTGCTGTCCCCTCCATGGGAGGACTTACACTTTTGGAGGAAGGGATGAGGGATGGTGTGGGGCTAGGTGGGGGGAGGGGGAGCGGGAGGAAGGATAAGAGGGGGATCTGTGGTTGGTATGGTATGTAAAATGAATAAAAAAAATTTATTTTTGTTAGGATTGGGCATGGTGGCACACGCCTTTAATCCCAGCACTCAGGAGGCAGAGACAGGCAGATCTCTGTGAGTTCAAGGTCAGCCTGGTCTACAGAGTGAGTTTCAGGACAGCCAAGGCTACACAGAGAAACCCTGTCTCAAACCACCCCCACCCCACCACCCACAAAAAAAAAAAAAAGCATATACACAGGACTGGAGAGATGTCTCAGTAGTTAAGAGCACCTGATCTTATAGCAGACCCATGTTAGGTTCATAGCACCCATGTGGTGGCTCACACTCATCCATCCCAATTCCAAGGGATCTCACACCCTCTTCTGACCTCTGAAGGCATCAGACACACATATGGTACATATACACACATGTAAGCAAACCATTATGCACACAAAATACAATAAACAAATCTAAAAATAAATGAAGTACACACACACACACACACACAGATACACAATATAACTACAATGAAATTCATCTAAGAGCTGAGCGTGATGGTGCAGGCCTTTAATCTCAGCATTCAGCAGGCAGAGGCAAGCAAGATCTCTGAGTTCCAGGCTAGCCTCGTCTACACATCGAGCACCAGACACACAGGTGGCACACAGACACACATGCAGCCAAAACACTCATACACATAAATTCAACTGCGAACCTTAAAAAAAAAAAAAAAAAGTCTCATGACGCTATTTGTTGGAAAGTGGACCACAAGAGACCTAACCCAGCGACTGGATCAATCCGTGACGGATTCACAACTGAAGGGACCACTGGGAGGGGGTGGTGACAGTGAAAGAGAGCAAAGGCCTGAGGTGTGGCTGTGCAGTCTTTAAAGGTCTCTGTTGTCCTTGGCCTCCCGGGCTGCTTCCTAGCTGCCATGAGGAAAAGATTTCCTCTGTCGGCCCTGTCATGGCGTTTCTGTCTTACCAGACCTGACAGTAGGCGAGCCAGTGGCCTGTTTCTGAACTGTGAGCCAAATTAAACCTTCTTCTTTTGCACTGATTTTACAGTGTGTCATCACAGCCACGGCAAGTTACTAACACATTTCCTAACTTTTGATTATCTTTCAATGATGAATGAACTGTGAATGTCACGCACAGGACAACACCTCAGGTCTCCATAAAGCCTGTAAACAGCACTCAGCCTGAAGTAACACTGTTTCCCTTCAGATGCTAACAGAATGAGGAGCTGAACCAGTGTCCACACAGGAAGATCGAATCCTAACTTAGCCTTTCACTTCAAGTCCGGGGCTTTTCCTGGGGAAGCTGGCTTCCTCCTGTGTTCTCATGTAACAGCCTATGATGAAGCACAGCTTTGTCAGTGGCCTTGTGACCTTAGGCTGACAAATAAATACAACTCCCCAAAGACCAGACAAGGACATTATGGCTAATCTAAGCTTAAAAGGGATAAAAGTAGAGCCCAGGTCAACCACTGCACTGGAAACAGACACCCAAAGGAGAACAGGATTCCTTACCAAGGGCTTCCAAGCGCTCCGTCTGCTCTTCTCTCCACTTACGGATACTTTCAGGCTCTGATTGCAATCGATCCACTTCTGAAATAGCTGCATAACTGTCTGTTGGACCATTACTCTCCTAACACAAAACAATAATATACTCATCAGTACCCAAATGCCTTCCTGAAGGGTCTTCATAAAAATTAGAACCTCGAGCCGCACAGCACAGCTAGCCGTCCTAAGACGTTAAAGGTTGCTCAAAGCGACAGGAGACCCTTACAAGCCACCAGAGCTGAGCATTACTGTGATGAATCCTTGCACCCTCACGAGGGAGGCAGAGTGGTTGTATCTGTTAGTAAGTGGGACCCGAGTGGGTGACAGGAACGCTGAGGCTGTGTGAGTAAGGGACATATTAGGAAACTCTTATCAGCTTGTTCATTCACTTGACAGAGAGATTATGTGTTATCTCCAAAAAAGTACACAGCAAGGCCAAGTCTAGAGCCAAAGACTTCGAATGCTATTTTATCATGTAGGAAAGTCATTCAATACCATCTAACCCAGCAGTAAATTCTAAGAAAGAATCCAAAAGAAAATGAACAACTACAGTCAACGCAGGGAAGGAATAGAAGGCGGTAACTGTGAGTCAGAGGGCACAAGAACACTTCTCTGTGTGGTAAGACTGAGAGCCACTAAAAAGCTGACTAAATCTCATAGCTGCCAACTGATCTGAGAATTACACTATGCAGCCAGCTTAACCTTATCAGACTCTAAGACAACAAGAGAATTAAAGTTCTAGTGTCTGCCAGTCTTGGTGCTGAATAAGCACTCACAGTTTTGGGAAGTGAGGTGGCCTAGCCTGGTCTACCTAGTGAATAACAGGACAGCCAGGGCCACACACTGGTTCTGTTTGTCTCAGACAAAGACAAAAACAATAAAGCACTAGTGACTTCTAGTGTTTGACATGGTTCATGGCAAGGTGTAAACTGGTCATCATAGTCACCACCACCACGAAGGATCAGTCCGTCCGTCCCCCCACCAGGTGAGGACCAAACCCAGGGCCTTGCCTACCACTGAGCTAAGTCCCCAACCCCAGGATCAGTTCTTGAAGGAAAAAAAAAAAGACACCGAAACTCGATAAACTTTAAAACAGTGCTCTCAGTTGAACACAGTGGCTTTACGCCTGTAATCGAAATACTGTAATCCCAATACTCAGTTGGGAAACTGAGGCAAGAGGAATGCCATGAGTTCAAGGCCAACATGGGCTACACAATATGACCTTGTCCTAGAAAAGCAAAATGAAAGCCAAGTGTGGTGGCTCAGATTTTAATCCCAGCACTCAGGAGCAGAAGCAGCCTGGCCAAGGCCAGTCTGGTCTACACAGCAAGTTACAGGCTAGCCTGGGCAACATAGTGAGAATATTTCTTTTCTTTTTTTAAGCTCTTCCTATCAATGCCACTTTCCACTTTGGTAGCTAATGTACCAGCAGTGGGGTCTCTTTAGGTCAGTCAATTCAAATCACATGAATTACACTCTACTTTACTATCGTTTAACATAGTTAGAATACTCTGTACCTGGTAATATTCACCGTTCATCACTCCATCAACAGCATCTGCAAGACATAAGGTTTCAGCCTGTCAATCAGGACAACTAAATGCAGGGCTAAAGGATTATACAGCAGAATACAGTACTGTGTGCTGTAGAGACTATGAGTTACTAACAGCTTTGAAGAAGTGATCCTAGGGATACAGGATAGCTCAGTGGCAGACAGCGTGCCTAGCATGCATGCCTCGGTGAGGCCCTGGGATCGACTGGAAGACAGTTTGGTCGGGAAGGGTACGAAGTAGGAAGGTGTGGCTGCGAGGCAGAGCACTGGCTGCTCCACTGAAGGACCCGGGTTTGGTTCCCAGCACCCACATGGCAGCTTCCAACCATCTGGAACTCCAGTTCCAAAGGGTCCAACACCCTCCTTCTGGCGTCCATGGTACCAGGCACCCTCGTGGTACAGGAACAGATACTCAGGCAAAACACTCATACACATGTATTTTTTAAAAACTGCCTGACACCCTGAGTCCAATCCCTGTGATCCAAATTGTAGGAGAAAACAAGATTCCTGCAAGCTTTCCTCTGACCTACACACACGCACGAGTGTGAGTGAGAGTGTGAGTGAGAGTGTGTGTGAGTGTGTGTGTGTGTGTGTGTGTGTGTGTGTGTGTGTGTTGAATTGTGCATAGTGATACATGCCTGTAGCCTTAGTACCAGTACTCAGAGGCTGAGGCAGGAGGATCAAAGGTTATGAGGCCAACCTGGGCAAATCCCAAGTGAGTTTGAACCCATCCATACAACAAGAAACTAAAAAACAGTGGATAGAAGTATTTGGCTGGCACAGTCAACCACCCCTCTGATAAACTCTTTGTGGGACACAAATGCTGGGACCCAGGGTATGGCGTACGGGAAGGTCCTTATCCCCCGTGATATAATAACGTAGCCGACACTTCACTTTTCTTCCTCTACTGAGATTTGCCTCCTTTACTGTCTTCTGGTCTCTGTATTTCCTTTATTAATGATCCTATTATATTCCAAATATTTCCCCATGTTGTCCACCTCCCTCCCCAGGCTCCTATGTGTACTAGGCAAGTGTGCATGCATGGAGGTCAGAGGGTCTTGTGGGCTGTCTTCTCCAATTGCTCTCCTGCCTTCTCTTTGGAGACAGGCTCTGCTGGCTGGTCTGCCTGGCTCCTCCCGCCTCTGGGATGACAGGCACGCAGCACAGCAGCCAGGTCTTCCACGAGGACTTGGGATCTGAACTCAGGGTCTCACGCGCGTGCAGGAAGCACTTACCAGCTGAGCCCAAGCCCAAGCCCCCATTTTGTTTCTGTGGAGCTTTTTTAAGTTTAAAAAAAAAAAATTAACACAGGCTTTCTCACTGTAACTCAGGCTAGCCTCAAACATGTTGTTGAGAATGACCTTAAACTTCTAATACTCTGCTTCCACCTCCCAAGTGCTGGAAATACAGATATGAGCCACCAGATTCAGTTTATGTGCTAGTGGGAATTGAACCCATGGCTTCACGCACACTCGGCAAGCACTCTACCAACACCCCACTTTGTTTTCCAATATGGCTTTACTCAGAATTACAGCTTAATTTGTATGTACATGTTTCCAACTCTCCCTCTGTGATTTCTGCATGGGCTTCTCTGCTGCAGGCTACCCCACAACAGTGTCTTCTGCAGGCCGTCAGGTTTGGCAGCAGAGGCCCTGCACCCACTAAGCATCCCTCTGGCCCTCCTCTGGTACTTTAAACATGTCTCTCGAATTCACCCGGAATTTATTTTTGTGTAAGGTAGAAGAAAGAACGAGATAGTTTTAAATCCTAGAACTTCCAGTGGCTAGCCTGGCCAGTCCTTCAATATGGCTATATATTACAGCTCACACAGTGTCCAGTTAACAGACTCCAGCCCAGGGCCATTACTCCATACATAAAACCAGAGCAATGCACACCCCATACCTCATCAACTACTTGCACGTCCTGTCCTTTAAGTCTGAGGATTCACCCTGACCCTCTGGCACATGCTTTGAGCTCTTTATTAGATACATTATTTTTCTGACATTCTCTTTTAAAGACTTATTTTATGCCTATGGGTGTTTTGCCTGTATGTGTGTGGACCAGGTGTGCAATGCCCAGAAGGCCAGAAGACGGAATCCGATCCCCATGAACTGGAGTTACAGCCACCATGTAGATGCTAGGAACTGAATCCAGAGCCTTTGGAAGGGCAGCCAGTGATCTTAACCACTGGGCCATCTCTCCAGTTCTGATCTAACATTCTTACATGAATCAAATGGCCCAAGTCAAAGGGCAATCTACTGCTACAAAACAATAGAAATTATGTGCAGGGCCCTCGATTTAGGACAGCTACGCCAACTCCAATGATCCAGAAGAAAACTTTCTCAGGTATCTTAACAAGTCCCAAAAGAAACAAGGGCTGAGCCAGGAACAACAGCACATGCCTTTTATTTTAGGACTTAGGAGACAGAGGCAGGCAGATTTGAGTTCAGCCAGCCTGTCTACGGAGCAAGTTCCAGGACAGCCTAGGCTAGAGAGAGACCCTGTCTCAAACAACCACTCCTGCAAAAAAAGAAAAAGAAAACACCAAGGGCCAGAGTGAAGTTTCCATAGAGCAAAACACCTTGAACTTACGTTCATCAGTGTATGAAGTCAAGCAGAACTAGGGTGACTCCTAGTTGCGCCAGTGAATGGCTTGCTACCTTAGGACACTGCTTAACTTGCACAGTAATCAGGTCTCATCTGAAATATGTCCACACTCCAGCTTAGCTGGCAGTTACTCCATGGTCCAGAGGCGTAAGTAAATATGTATAGATGCAGTAAATGTACAGGATATTTAAATATTGAATATTAAAAACACAACATTCTCTTTGCTCTTCCACTTCTACCAGTAAAATTCCTCTCTCTCCTCCGAGAATGGACTTGTCAGGAAGGCAGTACTCGAGTTCCTCGTCCTCTCTGCATTCCTCTCCTGCCAGGCCCCACCACCAGGCCCCACCACCAGGACTTTCCAGCACCTGGCCTTGGGCCGCCTCCGTCCTGACCGTCTGCCGCCTCCCCCAGCTGCCTCTCCTTCTAAACTTACACCTTGGCCCACCCAGCCTTCTGTTTCACCTGTGCTCATCTCCTGCAGGAATTTTCCCCACAGAGGGAGCAAGTTCAGGTCTCACTGAGCTCCTGCCTACTCTCTCAATTTATTCAGTATATCCAAAGCCTATGAGCCTAGTAACTCTTCTTCCTTCTCCCATGAGACTTCACTGATCACTTTCTACACACCAGTAAGCACTTTACATATTAACAGAATCCTGAAACATCACGCAGTATACATCATGCACCTTTGCTAGAAAAGAAAGCAGGCTGGGCAGTGACAGTAATTACAGAACCTACCTAAGTTCACACTCCAGCAGCATAGGATAGCCCCAAGCCCCAACCACAACTGCATCTGAAAGTTCTCTAATCCCAAGAGGAAGTGCTGAAACTGCATTATTACCAACCTCAACACACTGTCAGGATCTGGCATTAAGTCATTAAATGCTTAGTTCATAAAAATGTCTTTCCCAGGAACTAAGTCAGCAATCCCCCCTTTCCTTCCCTTTGCTGCACAAAAGGCCCGATGGTGTGGCTCTAGTCTTTCCTTTTTTTCCCCAAACTGCCTACCCCCAAAAGCTGCATGCTCTCTACAGGGCTCTTTTTGCCCATTTACTTGTTCAACGTCTACTATAGGTCAGAGACTGCTAAGTGATCCAAACGCGTTGACACTGGACACAACTGTCCAGAGAATCAGTCTTCTAACTAGGGGTCCTGCTCCTCCCAACTCTTGCCTGCCCAAAACACCCACAAAGCTTTTCTTCCTCCCAAGCAAACCACGCTAAAACATCTGCAACAGAGTGAAGTACAGTCTAAGACAGGGTAAACTTGAGGCTCAGCCTTTTAACCAAGTCACATCTCTCTCTACAATTCAGTTTCCTATTAAATGAGGAAAGGAAGTTATAGGGACAAAAAGCAAATTTTAAATGTTCTCAGGTAAATGCAAAAGACCGCCCAAAGAAAACAGCCCCTGCCACTTAAAATCAGCAGCCCTGGGCACAGCACATGTTCCCATCTAAGTTCCTGCTGGGGCTGCCTTGTCTAGGAGATAGCAGTGTCCTGGGTTGTGTTTTTAAGGGAAAAACACAGGCGCGCGCGCGCGCACACACACACACACACACACACACACACACACACACACACACACACAACACAGAGGCTGAAAACTAGGAACACCTCTGTCCCAAAATATTCTGCTTGCTTAGGATAATTGGAGATTTCTGTGCCTCAATTACCCAAAAGCACCATCTGATGCACCAAAGTCTAAGTCTGTCACACTCACCGTCTCAATGCCGTTTGTTGGTACCAGTGTAGATAGATATTCCTACTTGCTCAGGGAGGGCCATTTTCTCTTTAAATTGCATTTTTTGAGTGAGGGTTTGATCTGTTACTCAAGCTGGTGATGAACCTCTGGCACCACCCTCCTAAACACCTGAGTGCGTGCTCCCAAGGCCAAGCTGCTTTTTTCCTTTTTAATGAAAAGCCATTGTGTCATTTTTCTAGCGAGCTTCCTACTTCCTTACACTAACAAATGGGTCTTTCCCACTCCATCTTTGCTCCCACACCACAATCCTGAGCATCACACAAATTACAGCACTCAAACTGTCAATCTACCCGAGCACTTTGGCTCGAGTTCTGCTGCGGAAAGGCCCACATTGCACTTTACATTCATCTTTCTTTCCTCTTTGGTTGGTCTGGACTAACCCAGGCTTTTCCTGAATCTATACTTCCTTCCAGAGCCGTTCCAAAGAAAAGCGCCAGGAGTCCTAGCCTCCACACACTCAGCAATGTAACACCTATACTTCTAGCCCAGTTTCTTTCTCCACGGCCAGACTGTCTTTTCTGAGCTCCCTATTTTCCTCTCTTCCTCCCCACGACCCAACATTTTGTATGTCTTAACTGCTCAACTACGTTGCCATTTTTGTTCGCAGGTGTGTCTCAAAAACTGTATTAGTCTTACTTTCCCCCCACTAAGCCGTTCTTTCTGAGTGGACTCAGACATGTCTGTAAGTCCGGCCAAACTGCGCCAATGCGGTGGCTTCCGAGACCAGGCTTCAAGCGCACCCAGTGCTTAGTGAAGTTGGACTGAACGGGCCCGGATCCTGACAGTCTCTGCATCTGCGCTCCCTCCGCCCGGGCGGGCCCAGCTGCACTCAGGCACTCCGACGCCCGCAGCCTTGCAGCAGCGGAGGTCTGTGCATGACCCAGACGGGGTCTCGCTTCCTCTTTGTGTTCCTCTGTAATCTCCAGCTTCAGCCGGGAACCCGGGTCCCGCGGAAGCGCACAGACCCGCCCCGGCCCGAGTGTGCCCGCAAGTCGTCCCGCCCGAACGCCGCCCCCCTCTCACCCGGACCCCCCGGCGGCTCGCCGTGCGGCTGCGGCCCGGGGGCGCCGCCGTCCAGGATGGCGAAGGCCTCGTCGTTCTCGATGCCCGCAATCTCACTCTCCTGCTGCGCCAAGAAGGCCGCGGCCGGGTCTTCCTCGCCGGCGCCCGCCACCCCGTTCCCCAGCGCGGGGCCCCCGGGAGCACCGGCGGGAGCGCCGAATGGATCCAGCTCAGCCATGACGGCCCAACTCAACCGCAGCGACCCCGAAGCCGACGCCAACCGACCGACCCGCCGACACCGCGCCCCGCAGCGGACACTGTGCTAGCGGCTGCTACTGGAGGACGAGCGAGAGGAGGGAGAAGGTGGAAGCGGAAGCCCTGTTTCGATATCCGGTTGGGTTGGCGAACCTCAAAAGGAACAGCCAATCAGAGGGCGAGAGCTGCCCAATCAGCGGGCGAGGGGGCGGAGCCCTGAAGACAACTCGTGACTGGGAGCGGAGGGCGGAGCGAGCGGAAGTGCCACCTGATCGAAAGCTGGGACTGGCAGAAAGAACTTCGGGAGCGACCCGGACGGTCTTCTGAGGGCGTGGGGGGCCACGGTGAGGTGGCGGGCGTTGGTCTTCCTGGCCCTCAGTGTCCTCGCTTGGAGAGCAGGGAAAGGAATTCTGTAGTGCCTCCCTCCTCGATTATTGGAAATTGTATGGGTGCATAGGTCGGGAGAAGTATGTTTCTCTTTTACTCCCCTAAAAAAGAAACAAGGGCTGGAGAGATAGATGCCTTAGTGGTTAAGAGCACTGGCTGCTCCTCCAGGGCACCTAGGTTCAATCCCCAGCACCCACATGGCAGCTCACAACTGTTACTGCGGTTCCAGGAGTTCCCACACCCGCACACAGACATACTCAGGCAAAATACCAATGCACATAAAATAAAAATTAATAAATTAAAAAAAAAAGAAACAACAAAACCTCCCACAAATGTTGAAAGACCCCCGGCTGAGATCTTTCTCCGGGAGAGACCCCAAACCCAAGGAACACACCGAAACCACAGATCAGATGCAAAAGCAAGAGGGTTTATTTAGACCAGGTACCTGGGGCGAAGTCTCTTGGAGGACTTGCGCCCTTTCCTAGGGCAAGGGGGACTTTTTATGGGATCCCAGGGGCAGAGGCGCGGTTACAGAAGC